GAGGCGTGCGAATGGGGAGCAGAGCCCCGGCTGCGCAGTTGCCGCTGCCGTGCAGGCCCGGCCATGCCGGCACTGCCGCCACCGCACAGGCCCAGCCATGCAGGCGGGCCACCACCGCGCAGGCCCGGCCACACAGGCGTGTCACAAAGCATTTTTAATCATGTTCAATTCCACAGATGCTTCCTTCTTCACAAGACACAGCAATAAAATACTGTAGATTTTGGAGTTGTTGCAGATTCTCTTTTTCTCCTTTTTCTCTTTGTACATATTAGCTTCTGATTTCCAGAGACTCTTTTTTATAAAGATTTTTGCTATTGGGTGCATGTGCTCACCAGAGAGACAGAAAGACAAAGGGAGAAATCACCCCCCCCACACACACAGGGGGATGGCCACACTGCAATTCCTTCTCCTCCATTCTCCTCCCAGGACTTTGGGCATCCATGCGCACACACCCGGCATGGGTTTCAAACCATCAGTCTGGGATTTGAACCATGTTCAGCCATGTGGGAGTCTAGTACCTTAACCACTATGCCACCTATTGGCCCCTTATTTTTTGTCATTATGAAAATTAAGTCAATTCTCAGAAAAAGGATATGTTACCTCTTTACACCTTAGTAGGTGTAGACTCTAAGCCCGATTGTGAATAATTATTGATGATAGTGCAGTAAAATGTTTTTCCTGTTGCAAAGGAATTTCAGTTATTACTAATGCGTTTGGGGGACAAACTATTCCTTATTAAACTAGGAGTTTCTTTGGTACTCCCTGATATTGCTCCACTTCGGTGGCTGCCTTGAATGTGCACAGTGAGCAGAACAGTCCATCTTTCCCTCTGCTGGCCCTTCACTCCATAGATATGGAATCAGCCTGCAGCAAGTTGCTCATCTAAACAGGCAACCACTGCTGACAGTGAGACTGGAAGGATTCAGGCATCATTCCTTCAGTCAGTGTTTCCTTCATTCATTCCATAAATGAGCATAGAGTGTCTAAAACAGGTCAGACACCTTGTTGGATGATGACGATTGAAAAATGAATTGAGCAATGCCACCGCTAATCAGGGAGCCTGTGGTTGTATGTATGTGTGATAGAGTAGAAGGCAAGGAATTTGGAGCACAAGTACTGTCTTCAGTGTTTGAGTCTTAGCTCCATTTACATTTATATCTAATGTCCCCTGCTGTAATTCCTAAATTTTAACAAGCATAAGGTATTTGGTGGGGGGACAGGGGAGAAAGAGAATTTCAGTCACATTAGTCCAGATAGTTTCCTAAACTAATATAAGGTTGTCCATACAGCTAAAATTTAGAAAGGATTATTTGAAAGTTGGTTAAGGAGGACTTGTAGAGCCTTAAAATATAAAATAGAGCTTTAAATGTTAGAAATATTATAATATTACCAGAATTGAGAGTGAGCTCTTATATAAGTGATGTAACTAAGTGACAGAACTTGCCAGTCTACTCAGATTTAACTTTATTTTCTTATTTGCATACATATGCGTGCATGTGTGTATGTTGTGTTTGTGTGTGTGTGTGTGTGTATTTTTAAACTAACTCCCACACTACATAGCATTACTGCTAGTAATGAAATGACATAAGCATTAATGGTCATTTCTTTTTTCTTTTTTTTTTAAACAGAGATTTTTGCTATAGAGCATATACACTCACCAGAGAGAAAGAGAGAGACAGAAAGTCAGAAATCACCCCATGGTGGAGACGGCCACACTGCAATCCCTTCTCCTCCCGGGATCTTGGACAGCCATGCATACATGCCCAACATGAGTTTTAAGCTGCCAGGTCCAGGACTCGAACCATGGTTGACTATGTGAGAGTCCAGAAACATAACCATTACATTGTCTGCTGGTCTCAACAAATGGTCATTTCTTACTTGCTTAGTTTACATGTGGACTTGTGCAACTTTTTTTTTTTTTAAAGTTTTGCTATAGAATGTGTACATTCACCAAAAGAGACAGAGAGAGAGAAGAAAAGCAAGGAAAAGTGTGAACTCACACCCCCTCCCCCAAGGGGGATGAACATATCACAGTCCCTTTTCCTCCATTTCCTTTTGGGGATTTGGACATGCAAGCACATGTGCCTGGTATGTTTTTCAAGTCACTGGATCTGAGACTCTAAATGCACAGATGGCCATTTGGGATCCAGCTCCTTAACCTGCACACCACACAGCTGGCCTGTGTTTGTGCAATTTTCAACTCTGAAGAAAGTAGTCACTAAAAGCACTAAGAGAAAAGAAGGAACTAAAAGAAAAGAAGGAAGAGAATGTGAGGATGTCATATTTTCTCTTTTCAACATGAACCGTATTTCTTTTTTCATCTTTCAAGTTTTGAACATCCATTAGAAGCTAAGATATAAATGATTAAAAATATTTTTATGATTGCAAGTCATTTGCTTAATTAACCACCCATATAAGTGATATGATTTACTATTAAAATATTTTTAAAAATTTATGTTGCTGCTTTAATTCTATTTAAACATGCATTTTCATTCTCTGAGGAAGTTTGCTAGTCGTCAAGATTTAATATCTTTTTTGGTGGAATCAATTCAAGTATTTTGAAATTTTCATAAATTATATTCCACGCCAAAGTTTAATTTATCTGTAGGCAGTATTTATGGATCTTTCTGGCTGAAAGGTGTATATAAAGATAGAGCAAACTTTTTTACCATTTCATGAAAATTTCATGTAACTATGAAATTATCATATGGACTGAATATGTGATAAACTTTGTGCAAGTCAAAAGGGAGAGGAGGCAGCTGTGTTTCATGGCAGGTTTTTATCTCCAGACGTTTCAGTTAAATTGATCAGAAACTCAACGAGCTGTATGAGCATGTCGATGGGCTGGAGGAGATATCTTGCCCGAGCAGGAGCCAAGGTCAGCTGCGGCAAGAGCACCTGCTTCTGTTATGTTTCTCTCCAATAAGGCCCATCTCGGATGTTACTCTGCTTTATCGAATTTGTCTTAATGTACTTGAAGAAGAACAAATGCTGTTGGAGGTCATTCTGGTCTGTTGGTTTGAAATTTATTGCTTAGTGCTCAGCAATATACTCATTTAGAAATATCAAGAGGCAATCACAGAAAGAAAACAGAAAAGTTAATAGACACAAAAATGAAAAGTTATCTGCTGATGATAAGGTATGTACAGTAATGTCTGACTTGACTAGTATGCACTGTATTCGTGCTAAAAGCTGTCTTGTACACTATAAAGATGTACAGTGATTAAATGTTAAAAAAAAGAAATATCAGGTGGCTAAAAAAGCTGAAATCCCCACATTTCCATTTTGTATAGTTTAATTGTATAGTTCAATAAA